CTGTAGATCAAGACCACCCCCAGAAACATATATACATCACAGAAGGGGTGTAACCTAAGACCACCCCCAGATACATCAAACCTACATCACAGAAAAGGCGGTCTAAAACATAAATTTGAATGTTGTTTTTTCCTGTTTGCCATGTTATCTGACTGCCTTTCCTGATAGTCTGTCACCCATTAAAATTCTGATTACTCAATTCATGAGACAATAGGAAGGCTCCCTGACCCACCCACCCCCCTCCCTCCTTGCAGGGAGAACATTTGGTCAGTTTGGGAATCAAAATGGTTTCAGGTTGATCTTCTTGTGCTGATCTATGTAAGTGCTTGGTTGGTACACCTATGAACATTACCATATATCAAGACCTAAAATTCCTGTCACAGTACCATATACAGTGGTATCTCAGGTTAAGTACTTAATTCATTCCAGAGGTCCATACTTAACCCAAAACTGTTCTTAACCTGAAGCACCACTTTAGCTAATGGGGCCTCCCGCTGCGCTGCCGGAGTACGATTTCTATTCTCATCCTGAAGCAAAGTTCTTAACCTGAAGCACTGTTTCTGGATTAGCGGAGTCTGTAACCTGAAGCGTATGTAACCTGAAGCATATGTAACCTGAGGTACCACTGTACTTTCTATGGGAAAGCGCACCTTGGTTTTGGATTGCTTTGGTTTTGGAACGGACTTCTGGAATGGATTAAGCTTGAGAACCAAAGTACCACTGTACTTTAAAAGGTGGGGAGGGGTCATGGTTTGGTGGCAAAGCATACCATTTGCACACAGAATGTCCCCAAGTTTGATATCTGGCATTGGGTGGACTTCAGATAGATGGGACCCTGGGCCAAGCACTTTCTCATAGGCCCCTCCTCTGACACTGGACCCTAGCACTACCAGATTTCTGCAACGAGCTGCCCTTTTTGTTTCCCGCAACGCCCCCCGATGTAGCCTCACTCCTGGGGCATTGTGGGAAATTAAAATGGCGGGTTCGGTACAGGCTGCCCAGTGCTGTTTGGTCACTTGTAACCCTATCTGGAGATGCATGGCTTTGAACCTTTTGACTCAAAACAAAGGGCTGAATTAAATAGATTTTAAAGCAAAGATTATGGGATAATGCACACAGTGACTTGCGATCTCGATCACACGCAGTCTGTAGTCCGCTGGCAGTAGGAGTTCAATATGGGTATGTCTTTAAGTTAACATCTTACATTAAAAACCTGACAGTACCAAACTACCGAAGGCTTTTCACCGAAGCCAGACTAAATGTCTTCCCTTCTGCAGTGTTGGATGGCAGGTTGAGAGGAGTTCCCTACCAGGACAGACTTTGCTCGTGTGCTCAAGACATCAGTTCCATAACACATATTTTGTTGCATTGTGCAAAATATGAGCAGGCCAGGGCTGAACTGATACTACCCTTGCTGGTACCTTTCCCGGGAAAATCAGAGGCTCACTATGTCAGGTTCCTACTGGAAGACTGGACAAATGCTAGAACATTAGCAGTGGCAAAGTTTTTATCAGTGGTTGCAAGAACAAATGAGCCCTATACTCTAAACAAAATGCTTGATTAACCTGGAGGTAGGCTGTATGAATTGTGTATTGATTTGTAATGATTTGTCGGGTCTCTGGACCGTAATAAAGATTGATTGATTGATTGATTGATTGATTGAATTAAATAGAAACAGGAGAGGTTGTTTTATATGGAGTCAGATATTGGCCCATTCAGCTCAGGATTGACAACACTGGCTGGCAGCTGCTGCTCTCCAGGATTTCAGACAGGGTGTCTTCCCAGCCCTACACCTGCAGGTGTCACGGGTTGAACCTGAGCCTTCCGAATCCAAACCAGGTGCTCTAAGCCGCACCCTTACTTTATGCTTCCAAAGATCAAACATGTCTTGGGGATCATTTATTTTATTAATGTTTTGTTACAGTGGGTTGAACGCTTTATATTCCGGCCCCCCTTGAAAATATACAATCTCTCCTTTCTCCTCTTAATGAACTGTGAGGATTCCTCTCCATTTCGCATCGCCGTTCCGTTTCTCCTTGCTTTCTCCCGTCGAGATGCTCAGAAGCCAATGGGACCTTCAGCGCTTGTCAAATCCAGCCTTCCCTCCCAGTCCTCAGCAGTTTCCCTCAGAAGACTTCTTGGCACCTTGAAGGACGAGCGCCGAAGCCGAAGCTCTCTTTTGATGCCGCCACTTGGCTCGCCGATTCTTAAACCAAACCTGTGCGTTTCGTAAAAAGTGCCCCCGCAACAAAGAGAGGAAAAATTGGTCCACAATCCGACACGTGGTTTTCCTCTTTAAAAGATGCTGTGGGTTTTATCCATTGTTAGAGTAAACGGGCACAACTAACCTAGGTGCATTAATTTCAATGGGCCATAGCGAATGTTAGCACTGCTCAGAGTAGACTCACTGAAATTGATGAACCTAGGTTGTATAATAATAAAGGTAAAGGGACCCCTGACCATTCGGTCCAGTCGTGGCCGACTCTGGGGTTGCGGCGCTCATCTCGCTTTATTGGCCGAGGGAGCCGGCGTACAGCTTCCAGGTCATGTGGCCAGCATGACTAAGCCGCTTCTGGCGAACCAGAGCAGCACACGGAAACACTGTTTACCTTCCCGTAGGAGCGGTACCTATTTATCTACTTGCACTTTGACGTGCTTTCGAACTGCTAGGTTGGCAGGAGCAGGGACCGAGCAACAGGAGCTCACCCCATCATATAATAATTATAATAATAATTTCCCCAGACACTCTGGGCAGCTTCCAACAAACAATTAAAAATACATTAGTTGTGCCCATTAATTTCAAAGGGCCGTATGCAATGTTATCCCTGCTCAGAGTAAACCCATTGAAATTAAAAGACATGACTGGCTTAGGTACATTCATTTCAATGGGCTGTCTCTGGGGCTAGCCTTACCCCGAGTAGACACATTGAAATTAATGGATGTGAGGTCTACTCTGGGCAGGCCTTGCATCGGATGCAACACAATATTACTCAGAGTAGCTGGATATAACCCTATTTGACCCCAAAATGCAAGTTGAAAATGCCCTCCCATCAGATGTCAAGGAAATAAACAACTATCTGACTTTTAGAAGACATCTGAAGGCAGCCCTGTTTAGGGAAGTTTTTAATGTTTGATGTTTTATTGTGCTTTTAATATTCTGTTGGTGGTGGCTGGGGAAACCCGGCCAGATGGGCAGGGTATAAATAATAATAATAATAATAATAATAATAATAATTATTATTATTATTATTATTATTATTATTATTATTATTACATGAGAATATACCAAATAATATGAAATACGTACAAAACGAAGCCAGTAATGGCTATCAGTCATGAAGGCTATATATCAGTGGCTCCCAATTGGTGGTCCGCAAACCCCGGGGGTCCGCAAAACCCACCCAGGGGATCCACAGCACCATTCACATAACAAAAACTACCAAGGAGGTATCAAAATTTTCAACAGTTTGGCTTGGCTTTTGACAAACGGGGGGTCTGCATTACTTAGCCTATTGGGGACCTCTGCTATAAATTATGATGGATGCAGCAGAATGAGAGGCACAATGAACTTCCAGTCACTGGGATCAACAGCTGGGCAGATTTATTGCTTTCATGTCCAGCATTTGGGCTTCGCAAAGCCATCTGGTTGTACACTTGTGTTATCTACTTGCACTCTGATGTGCTTTCGAACTGCTACCACTATATTATTATTAATCGGAGAAATGTTGGAGGGGACATAAAAGTACGGGGCAAATGTGGCCACTGATAGATGAGCAGGCTGAGTTTAGCGGGGCTGTTCTCCCAAATGGACCACTTTCCACTACAATGGTACCTTGGTTTAAGAACAGCTTAGTTTATGAGCAACTTGGATTAAGAACACTCCAAACCCAGAAGTAAGTGTTTTAGTTTGTGAACTTTGCCTTGCAAATAGAACATGTTTCCCTTCCTGTTGAGTGTGCTCCATTTGTAAGCTGAGTCCCCCGCTGCTATTGGAAAGCATGCCTTGGTTTAAGAATGCTTTGGTTTAAGAACGGACTTCCGGAATGGATTAAGTTTGTAAACCAAGGTACCACTGTACTTACCTCCACTCTCTCTTCCTTCAGGTGAATCCGGTTAGCCAGGTGCTCTCTGGTAATGACATCTGGGTACTGGTTCTGGTGGAAGAGGGCTTCCAGGGCCTGCAGCTGGTCGTCCGTGAAGATGGTGCGGTGGCGGCGGGTCCGGCGCTGAATCTGGTGGAAAGCTTGCAGCTCGCTCTGGCTCCCGCGAGGGTTCTTGCACGGCCTGCCGACAGGATGGAAAACCCGCATGGGCCAGGGAAACCTTGCATCTGCTGAAGGGAAAGTTTGGGATTCAGAGGGTTTGCCTTTTATCAGAGGCGTAGCAAGGGCAGGTGGTACCTGGTGCAAAAAAAAAATTGTCACCCCCCCTCCATTGACGTGGGTGGCGCTGTGGGTTAAACCACAGAGCTTAGGACTTGCCGATCAGAAGGTCGGCAGTTCGAATCCCCACGATGGGGTGAGCTCCCGTTGCTCGGTCCCTGCTCCTGCCAACCTAGCAGTTCGAAAGCAGGTCAAAGTGCAAGTAGATAAATAGGCACCGCTCTGGCGGGAAGGTAAACGGCGTTCGCCAGAAGCGGCTTAGTCATGCTGGCCGCATGACCTGGAAGCTGTACGCCGGTTCCCTCGGCCAATAAAGCGAGATGAGCGCCGCAATCCCAGAGTCGGCCACGACTGGACCTGATGGTCAGGGGTCCCTTTACCTTTACCTTTACCCCCCATTGAAATTATTAAAAGAAGGAAAAACATGATACTTACAGCTGCAGGTGTTATTTTCTGGTTTGTTTATTTACTTAACATTGTGAGCATAAGCTCTTAAAACTCCCCCCCCTAACTTTGTTCTCACACCCCACCTCTCCTCCTGTGCGTTCCAGGGTTTTGGTCCTGATTGAGGGAATTTTTGCTTCCCTCCTTCCCTCCCCCTCCGCTTGTTTGCTTGCCTGTCTCCTTCCCTTCCTCCCCCTGCCTGCCAGCCTCCTCCAGCAGCCCGGGAATGCGGGGCAATGGCGCACCGCCCGCCCACGACTCCCAAGCCTCCCCCGAGCTGTCAAAATGAAGGGGGAGGGGGGAAGGCTGCCCGAAGGCTCGGGGTAGGCTTGGGAGTTGCGGTTGGGCAGCACGCCAAATGTCACCCCCCTCAGTGATGACACCCGGAGCAGTCTGCCTCCACTGCACCCCCCTTCCTACGCCTCTGCCTTTTATGCAAAAAGCAAAATGTGTATTTTTTTAATGTCCTTGTCCATCGTGTTATGCCAGACATGGCAGAGGCCCTGTGCTTACCTGGCCTTGATTCCCTCTGGAAGGGGGTGGTTTATTGGCATTTTGCAACACTTGCACATAGGGAAGTCGAGCAAAGGTGGAGATGCACGGCTTCAAAACTCCCCAAGAGAGAGGTGGAGCCCACCACCCACATTTCAGATCTCTAGGGTGGCGCTTGGGAACCTCTGACTTTCCAAATGTTTTTGGACCGCATCTCCCATCATCCCTGGCTACTGGCCATGCTGGCTGGGGCAGATGTGAACTGGAGTTCATCAATATCTAGAGGACAACCGGTTCCCCATCCCTGCTGGAGTTAGCCAGCACCCTAAAACATTTACAAGAACCCAAATTCTGTTTGATGTATCTTCCCATGCAGGTTAACTGCAGTTTCTCAGAAATACTTTCATCTTCAAGGTTTATGTTCACCTATACCATGATATATGTAATGATCCCAGTTCCTTTCCCACTTCTATATACAGATTTTGACAATCAGTCCTTATTATTTCATTTAAGTGGTTCACAACCCATCTTCCTAAATATTTTCCATTTTGCTTATTTACCCATGTGATTTTCCTTGCTTCCATATGTAGCAGGAACCCCCCCACCCCAATCATTCTGTTTGTACAAACTTCACACACACTCACACTCACACACTACATACGCCACATTCCTGTTATAATTCATAGAAAAATCAACCATACATCGGATTTGCACTGTTCCATTTTATTTTACTCCATATGACAAGAACTATCAGAGGGGGGTGGCTTTGTCCTGGTCAGCCATAATCCCTTCACTGTCTCAGCACATCTGCAGGAGCCCTGCCCAGTTGCTATGCCAACCCTGATGATCCCAGACAGAAGACAATCAAAATCACAAAGAACTTGCATATGGTAGTGGATTCAGCATGGACTGAAACAAAGGACAATAATCAGATCTTCCCTCTGGGGGCAGGAAACTGCAAACTCCCCTTTGTCTCCTGGAAGTGACTCATGGGCAGGGGGAAAGGAGGAACCAGCCAGGTGACAGGACACTCAGGTTACCACCACAACCCCTCCCTCAACCCCTCCTTTCTGTAATGTATGCATGATGTCAACCCCTCCTTTCTGTAATGTATGCATGATGTTTCTAGGGGTGGGCTTGACCTGGAGGATGGGAATTTCAAAAGTTTTTATAAGGGCTTGCAGACCATCTTTCTGGGTCTTTCCTCTCTCCTGCAAGTGAGGGGAACACCCTGATGCATCAGTTCAATAAAGGCCAAGCCTATAGGCTGCTGTTTTGCTCCAAGTTATCCTGGTTGGTGTCTTTGTTTTGTCAAAGGGAGCCCTCGGATTTTTCCGGTAACACATAAGATCTTTTTTTTTAAAAAAAAATCATTTGTGATACTTACTCTGAGCCATTCTGATTTATCATCAATTATTTTATAGCCTGATACCTTGCTACACACCTTCGTAACTTCTCTATAAGATTTTTCAGGGGAAGATATTGTCAGTACTACTATATCTGTGTACAGCAATATTTTTGTATCTATGGGACCACATTGCACCCCTTTTATATCTATATTCTACTTGGTAGCTATTGCCTCAAAAATGAACTGCAGTTTCTCTTCATTAACAGATACTGGGTGCCTCCAGGCTGTTGCTGTTTTCAGGTGGGAGAGTTAATCTCATACCAGCAAATGTAGCTTGCTTATTTATAGTTGATTGGGAGGTCTTGCACAACAAACCTACTTTCCCCAAGAGATCAGAGTATTTGTGATACGGAAAGTGAGGGAGAAATGCACTGGAAAGTGTGAGATAACAACACAACATCTAACCTCTCTGTAAACAAATCAGAATGAATGCTTATTAAACAACAACAACATCTGGTCTCCCTGCTAACAAATTGGGACGAATGCTCAATGAACAAGTCAAAGGCACCCTGTACCTAGAGAGCATTTTCCATTCAACTTTCCCCTCTCCCAGTAAATTCTACACATTTTGGACTGACTTTGCCCATTCTAAAAAAAAAAACCAGCTTCTCCCTGGTGGGTTATAAAGTATTGTCAGTTTCACAACCAGCCTTCCTCTGCCCTCCAGTATGGCTGACAAATCGGTTATTTGTGAGAGGTTTCCAACCTTGTCAGTTTTACCGGAGAGAAGAGGGAAAGGTTAGAATGATTTTATCGGATTGCAATATCCCCTGTATGTCAGCCCGCAGCGGATCCATGATAACATTTAAAGCAGGGGAAAAGAAAAGTTGTGAATTGCAGGAAAGAGCATTAACTGAAGTAGAGGAGGGGTCTTGAGCGACAAAGAGCTCTAAAATGCACAGGCCATTTACACCCCATATGTGTGATGGATAAGCCAGTTTACCTTTGTCTCTCCCTTTAACCATGACTCAAAGTTCCCATCTGCACTGTACATATGAAGCACCCTTGAGTGATGACTCCCCCCAAAGAATCCTGGGAGCTGTCGTTTGTGAAGGGTGCTGGGAGTCATCGGCAGGCCCTGATTCCCCCATATAGAGCTACAATTCCCAGCATGGTTTAATGATCAGTCCCATTTCCCAGGGACTCCGGGAGCTGTTATATAAACAAACACACTTCTATCCATTTTACAATGCAGTTCTCCTGAATTTCGAAGGGTTGCTGCGTTCCTGTTTGGGTATAGTTTCGGAAGCTGCGCATTGGGGAGGTGCGAATTCAAACACAAACTGAATGGAATTTCTCCCGCACCCTTAGCTGACCCTGTGACCCTCTCCCAAACTTCTCTCCCCCTTCCCTTTATACTACACAGAGTAGGGCAAATGCATCCCAACAAAGACCAAAGTTCAGCTGACAGCTCCCAGCAGCAGCCAGCTTCAGGCTTTGATCACAAGCAAACAGGGATACTCACTGAGCCAGTTTGCAGCCTCCTGCCAGGAGTAGGGACCGCTGTGAACACAGCAGCAGCAGCCGCAAGGCGCAGCGTCCACCTCTGTCTCTTCCACCTCGTCCTCCTCCTGCTGCAGGGGGCCAGCAGCCATGCCCCCCAGGGAACGCAGCCCCTTGGGCTCACAGTCCAAGACCCCTCGGAAGCAGAACGGGAGGAGGACAGGGGGTCTTCGCTCGGCCGAGCCGGAGAGGATGTTCTCGATGGTGAAGGAGCACGGTTTCTTGAGGGTCCTCTTCCCAAGGTCTACTACGCCTGAAGGAGCTTCGGCAGACATCCTGCTCGAGGGACCTCAGCCACGCCGTCCTGCAAGAGACAGACCTGACTTTTCAGGAATGGAAAGGGGAAACTAGTTTTCAAAATGACAACAAAATATGGAGCAGAACTAACGTTTTGGCTTCTTGGAGGTGTGTGTGTGTGTGTGTGTGTGTGTGTCTGGGGGGAGCTCAGCTTCTTATCCAACCTCCTGGGCCATTTTTTATTATATATGCTCGCAGACAAACAAGATCACATGCATATATATCCCAGAACCAGCCCCCTGTCTGCCCACCTAAGCGAGCTTGCTTGATAACCGACGGCACCCTAAATATATACGTATATATCTATATAATCCTTCTTGGAAAGGAAACCATAAACCCCCTGCTGGAATAAAATAAATTCTAACTAATCTTGACAGCTTTGTGAAGGGTTAGTGTGGATCTAAGATTTAGCTAATCCTACAGAAATGACTCTGGAAGGAAATCTGATTTCTCTATCTCAAGTGTAGATTTGAGGTGGTTATGAGGTCCATTGTGTTGGAATCCTCCCGTTCAAGTCAGGGGGAGAGAAAAGCTGTTTCTCAGGCCCAGAAATGGCCCAGAAGGATTAAGTCCTTTTTTAAAAAGAGAGAGAGAGAGAGAAAAGCAAATTATCCTTTTCTTTGGCCAAATGAAAGCTTTCCCATCAAAAGGGAACTGTCATATCGCACAATATGGAGGGGGATTGGAAGCGAATGGCAGGACACAGAGGGAGAGTTTAGCTTGACGATAGAAAACCAGCACCAGAAGCCAAAACACTTTGCAAGCCAAGGTCTTTTCCCGAAAGCCAATTTATTTCCCCATCCCGAGAACTAGAAAAGTTGTCAAGTTGTGGGATGCTTTCCCAAAATGATACAGGTTGTCTTTTTAATACATAAATATCCAGGCAGTCCCAGACAGATTTGGACAGTCCTTACATCTAGCCGGGACCATCTGTGGTTTGGGGGACAGTATCAAAACGTCGCAACTTTTCCTGACATCCTCAGGATACCTGGGACTTTTAAAATACTTTGCATCCTTCATAATCTGGTGGTTCCTCCATGCGAGAAGTGAAGCTACAGGGAACCAGGCAATGGGCCTTCTCGGTGGTGGCACCCGCCCTGTGGAATGCCCTCATATCAGATGTCAAGGAAATGAACAACTATCTGACTTTTAGAAGACATCTGAAGGCAGTCCTGTTTAGGGAAGTCTTTCATGTTTGATGTTTTATTGTGCTTTTAATATTCTATTGGGAGCCGCTCAGAGTGGCTGGGGAAACCCAGCCAGATGGGCGGGGTATAAATAATACATTATTATTATTATTATTATTATTATTATTATTATTATTATTATTATCATCATCATCATCATCATCATCATCTTAACATTGTGCGAAATGTAGAGCTATGCTTTTAAGAAGAATCGCTTTTAAGATGTTTTTTTTAAAAATTCCGTTTGTGGGTTTGTCACACTGGGCTCCCACTGGGAGGAAGGGTGCGATATATATTGGAAAAACTGACATAATCAACAAATGGTGGCATGTTGGCTGCCATGTGCATACATCTTCATGTCTTTTTTAATGTTTGCCGAGCTCTTTTTATCATGCCTTACCCAGAGATGTCTGTTGCAGGGGGAATAAATACAAAACTGGGGGAGTAAACAATTCAACCATGGCAATTGTTGGAAACTATGCCCCCAGACAACAAACATTCCCTTTGAACTATTTTTGTGTCCTAAATGAATGAATGAATGAATGGGGGGCAATTGTTGATTAACATGAGGGTCGTGTAGGGCTTTGAGCTGACAGATGGAGATCAGCAAACCACTGAGGCATAGCTGTCAACGTTTTCCCTTTTTTTAAGGGAAATTCCCTTATTCCGAATAGGATTCCTCAAAAGAAAAGGGAAACGTTGACAGCTATGCACTGAGGCTGTTGGGTATGAGGACCAGGAGAACCTTCAGGACCACTAGGACTTCTGTGACCAGAGCCCAGACCTTCTCGGTCACCTTCCCTTGAGGAACCAAGCACCTCCCATGAAGTGAGGTAAGGTAGTCACCTCAGGTGGCAAATCTGGTCTCCTCAATGCCCACTGGCCACCTCCTCTACATCTGCCCACTGCTGCCACCCCCATTCCTGCGTCTGGCTAGTGATGGATAGCAATGGGTGTGTGTGAAGGAAGTGGCCTTCTGTGACAGGTGAGGTGGAGGAGGCCGCGATGGAGCCAGGCACAGAGGAGAGAGGTGGCAGCAGGCAGCACACAAGGAGGAGAGAGATGGTGGCAGGGAAGAGTGGCAAAGCTGCAAAACATCTTGGCCTGGCCCTGGGTTATGGGATGGAGAAGCACCCATCTTCAGGCCAGAAAGCTGGCCCTTTAAGGCTTTGAAGTCCTAGAAGAGGTAGTTGGAAGACAGAGGCTTAAAACATGGGTAGGCAGACTAAGGACCAGGGGCCGAATCCGGCCCAATCGCCTTCTAAATCTGGCCCACAGATGGTTCAGGAATCAGCATGTTTTTACATGAGTAGAATGTGTCCTTTTATTTAAAATGCATAGGAATGCATAGGAATTCGTTCATTCCCCCCCCAAAAAAAAATAGTACGCCCCCCCACAAGGTCTGAGGGACAGTGGACCGGCCCCCTGCTGAAAAAGTTTGCTGACCCCTGGATTAAAAGGTCTCAGCCTGCACCTCACCTCTGCCAGAGCAACTTGCTTGTTTTGGAGCTGTCCGTGGTCCTGAAACGTCTATCCAGTCTTGCCTGCCCATCCTTGCTGCTTTCTCTGTGGGACCAGAACAGGACAGTGGGGATAAGGGGCAACAGATGAGATAGGGTTGCCTAAAGGCTACCAGAAAAGCTGGATACAGTGGTACCTCGGGTTACATATGCTTCAGGTTACAGACTCCGCTAACCCAGAAATAGTACCTCGGGTTAAGAACTTTGCTTCAGGATGAGAACAGAAATCGCGTAGTGGCGGTGCAGCAGTATCTGTGGGATTGAGTGTGGGTATGTATGAATATTTTAAAGGATTGTATGAAATATATGTTTGTACGGTGGTACCTCAGACATACCTTGGAAGTCAAACGGAATCCGTTCCGGAAGTCCGTTCGACTTCCGAAACGTTAGGGAACCAAGGCGCAGCTTCCGATTGGCTGTAGGAAGATCCTGCAGCCAATCGGAAGCCCTGCCGGACATTCGGCTTCCAAAAGAACATTAAAAAACCGGAACAATCACTTGCGGTTTTCAATCGTTCGAGAGCCAAAACGTTCGGCTCCCAAGGCGGTTGAAAACCAAGGTACAACTGTACAGTGGTACCTCAGGTTAAGTAATTAATTCATTCTGGAGGTCTGTTCTTAACCTGAAACTGTTCTTAACCTAAAGCACCACTTTAGCTAATGGGGCCTCCTGCTGCTGCCGTGCTGCCAGAGCACGATTTCTGTTCTCATCCTGAAGCAAAGTTCTTAACCTGAAGCACTATTTCTGGGTTAGCGGAGTGTGTAACCTGAAGCGTATGTAACCCGAGGTACCACTGTATGTTTGTATATTCGTAATATGTATGTATTAATGTTGAATTATTTTAATAATAAAATATTTGTGTTAAAAATAACTAAAAGAAAAGAAAAGCAGCCTTATCACCCTACAAATATGAAGCACGATTGGGGGGGGGGGAGCCGGCCCAGTTGGCAGAGGTTGTAGCAGCCGCAGTCATACAACCTGAAGCAGATTGATTCCCCCCTCTGCACGCCTGCGCATACGCACATCACCTGCAACAAAGATTTTCTCCCGAACGCACGCCCCCAATCACTAGTTTGCCCTCCCCACCTCCCTAACCATACAGGGTCCTATACACTTAGCCTATTAGTCCTTCTGCTGATTGCTTTCTTTCATTCTCCCCATACCTTTCACTTTGGGCAAAATAGACTGGTAATGCTTCTTTTATCAAAGAATTATGGGATTTAAGACCCAGATTTCACAAAGAGGACTTTTGATAGCAGCCGGTAATCAAAACCCAATCGCCAGGCGCGTCTATGCAACCCCTGGTCCCTGGAAAAGGGCAAATAAGTAAGAGGGGATTTATATTGATGTTGTGTTTACCGAGATAAGATCTCCCGGGTTATTCCATATTAGAAAAAAAAGAGAAAGAGAGGGGGAAATAAAACAAGGCGGGGGGGAGAGAAGGAGAAATGCAGACAAGCCGGAGACAATGTAGAGATATGGATAAAGAGAATAGAAAAGAGGGGCCTTTATCGTTTTCATATTGGGGAAAAGAGATTCTAAAACCATTATAAGGATTAGCAAACATAAAAAAAAAGTTAATCTGCTTTAGCTGTTCGTTTGTCAAAAGTGAATTCACAGGGTTGGAAAATCCTTCCTGTGATGAAGCTCAAGTTGCCTCTCCCCCCCCCCCAAAAAAAATTCCATTCTTCAGCAACAGGGTCCTCTGAACCTGAGGAAAAGAAAAAGACCTGTGTATGTGTGTTTTCTCCAGAGGAGTCAATTCAGAATAAAGCAGAGCCTTGACCCTTAAATAATAATTTGAAGAGCATTCACCTAACCCAGGGTTGGGGGACATTTTCCAGCCTGAGGGCCACACTCCCTTTTAGATAACTTTCCAGGGGCCACACAGAGTGGCTGTGGAAAGCCACTTAGATGGACAGGGAATTATTATTATTATTGAATAGGATGTCCCTATTTCCCTCAGAGAAATGTTGGAGGTTATGGCATCCATTCATAGGAGAGGTGCATGAAGGAATCCTGACTTTTAGAAGACATCTGAAGGCACCCCTATTTAGGGAAATATTAATTTTTGATGTTTTATCGTGTTTTTGATATTCTGTTGGGAGTCACCCAGAGTGGCTGGGGAAACCCAGGCAGATGGGTGGGGTATAAATAATAAAGCATAATAAAGCATAATAATAATAATAATAATAATAATAATAATAATAATAATAATAATAAAAATTTATACCCCACCCATCTGGCTGGGCTTCCCCAGCCACTCTGGGCGGCTTCCAAAAAAATACTGAAATACTGTAATATTATTATTATTATTATTCTCCTCTTTGCAGAAGTATGACTACTGGGCCAGGCAAAAGGCGTTCTTGTCAGTGTATAAAGCCCTTACATGTTCACCTTAAATGTTCACTTGCCTGCTTCGATTTGCTGAACTGGCACTATTGCAGGTGCTACATGATGCTCACCCCACGCTTGAAAGAAGAAATATTTCAGTATGTCACCTTTGACACTGGGCACGTACCTTTCCCATAACTCTTTTTCAGCACTTGCTTTAAAAAATGGTCATGACTTCAGAGGGATGTAACCATCAACCCCCTTTTCCCAGGGAACTCTGGGAATTGTAGCTCTGTGAGAGGAAGAAGGGCCTCTTAAGAACTCTCAGCACCCTGAACAAGCTACAGTTCCCAGTATTCTTTGGGGGAAGTCATGGCTGTTTAAAGTGGTAGCATCCTGTTTTTAATGAATGGTTCTGATGAAAACCTGCATTAATAGCAGCCAGGTTATAACAATAGCCAAATGATGGGGAAAACTTAAGAGGACAATCTAATGAATGAATGGTATCAGCAAATATGGTCCATTACAGTGGTACCTTGGGTTAAGTACTTACTGGTAATTCGTTCCAGAGGTCCGTTCTTAACCTGAAACTGTTCTTAACCTGAAGCACCACTTTAGCTAATGGGGCCTCCTGCTGCCGCCACGCCACCAGAGCACGATTTCTGTTCTCATCCTGAAGCAAAGTTCTTAACCCGAGGTACTATTTCTGGGTTAGCGGAGTCTGTAACCTGAAGCGTATGTAACCTGAGGTACCACTGTACTTTAACAGAAAAATTATCTCTGCAAATGAAAGACAGGAAAGCTTTAACAACAACTAAAAGGCCGTTCCCTGACAGCAAGATTCAGTTTTATCATTTATATTGCACAGAAGGAACGTGTTCCTCCATCTACACATGGATTTCTGTGGCAGCATATTATAGGATAACTCCTATTAATAAGAAAGCCTGCGAGGTGCAGTGGTTTCACTGTCAGACAAGGACCTGGGAGACCAGGGTTTCGAATCCCCACTTGGCCATGAAACTCGCTGACTAGTCTTAGACAAGTCACTGCCTCTCAGACTAAACTACCTCACAGGGTTGTTGTGGGGATTAAACGAGGAGGGGGAGAACCATGGTGCGCTACTCCAATCTCCTTGGAGAAAGCACAATGAATAAAATAATAAGACTTGACTAATTAAGCCAAAATATAATATTTTCACGCAATATATTGCACGCTTTGGGCTTTCTATGTACGCTCAAAAGAAATGACAGCACAAAACCAACAACAATAATAATAATGGAAAGGTAAAAAGGTAAAGGTAAAGGACCCCTGGATGCTTAAGTCCCATCAAAGGCGACTATGGGGTGCGGCGCTCATCTTGCTTTCAGGCGGAGGGAGACGGCGTTTGTTCGCATGTGGCCAGCGTGACTAAACCACTTCTGGCGCAACAGGACACCGTGATGGAAACCAGAGCGCATGGAAACGCCGTTTACCTTCCCCACCGCAGTGGTACCTATTTATCTACTTGCACTGGTGGGCTCCCGTACTGCTAGGTTGGCAGCAGCTGAGATGGAGCAACGGGAGCTCACTCCATCGTGGGGATTCGAACCGGCGACTTTCTGATCGGCAAGCCCAAGTGGCTCAGACCACAGTGCCACCCGTGCCCCAGAATTCATGTATACAATCCCAGCCGGGCAAAACTCTGCCAGGGAACCAGGCAGAGGGCCTTCTCGGTACTGGCGCCTGCCCTGTGGAACACCCTCCCATCAGATGTCAAAGAGATAAACAACTACCTGACATTCAGAAGACATCTTAAGGCAGCCCTGTTCAGGGAAGTTTTTAATGTGTGACATCTTAGTGTATTTTTGGTTTTTGTGGAAGCCGCCCAGAGTGGCTGGGGAGACCCAGCCAGATGGGCGGGGTACAAATAATAAATTATTATTATTATTATTATTATTATTATTATTATTATTATTATTATTATTTGGAAAGTAGAGCTGGAGAGAGATGTGGCCTGCGGAGGGCAGATGTGTCTGGGAAAAGTTCCAAGGGCCAGATATAAATACTTGGAGGGCCAAATGTGTCCCTCAGGCCTGAGCTTCCCTGCCCACAGTGCCACCTGCCTCCATAATAAAGGAAAGGTTTACTTTGAAAATTGAGAAGGGTGGAAATTCTGCTTTGCATGCAGAAGCATCCCGGGTCCGGCCCCCGGCCTCCCCAATATATTATTCTCCGCCTGAAACCCTGGGGAGCGGCTGCTGCTGCTGGTGCTGCTGCTGCTGCCAGCCCGTGCAGGCAACACTGAGCTAGGTGGACCATTGGTCTGGCGGCAAGGCAACGGTAGGAAGAGCGGCCAGGAGCAGAGCTGCCGTGCGAGCGCTAGATGGCGCTGGAGAGCCCCCCGAAGTGGCTCCGCTCTGTGCTGCGCGCTCTATGGCAGAAGCCTCTTCCTGCTTGCTCCATGCTGGAGTTTTTGCAGATGTGCCAAGGGGATTCCTGAGATCAGCCTTGGCTTTTCCCGGTCCCGCGAGGACCATGAGCGCAGAGCAGGAGCTGGAGAGCTGCCTGAGGCATTATAGGGCTCTGGGGCAGGAGGAAGGCGCCAGAAGCACCTGCCAGGCTTTGCTGTTGGTCCTGGAAAAACTCAAGCAGTTTGCAGGGTAAGTAAGGCTGAGGATACACGTGGCTTTTTGCAGAATATGTGTGTGTGTGTGTGTGTCACGTATAAGCATAGCTGTCAACTTTTCCCTTTTCTTGCGAGGAATCCTATTTGGAATAAGGGAATTTCCCTTTTAAAAAGGGAAAAGTTGACAATTATGCATATAAGCTTTACGTATAAGCTAAACAAGCTATAGCTTAGGTCCCCGCTCTCTAGGCCCCCCCCCCAAAAAAAAATGTAAAGGGAAAAAACACCTGGATGTACATTTTCAAAATTTAAGATAAAAAGCAAATAAAACCTACGTACAGAGTTGTAAACAAAACCTGCCCTTCTTCCCTTATGGGGTATCCAAGAGCCCATATAGAGTCCTTAAGTGGGTTCCCTATCAGTAGGAGAAAATAACAGAGGCCAACCTGAGAATGGGATGCGGGTGGCGCTGTGGGTTAAATCACAGAGCCTAGGACTTGCCGATCAAAAGGTTGGCAGTTCGAATCCCTGTGACAGCGTGAGCTCCCGTTGTTTGGTCCCTGCTCCTGCCAACCTAGCAGTTTGAAAGCACGTCAAAGTGCAAGTAGATAAATAGGTACTGCTCCAGCGGGAAGGTGAACGGCGTTTCCGTGCGCTGCTCTGGTTCGCCAGAAGCGGCTTAGTCATGCTGGCCACGTGACCCGGAAGCTGTACACCAGCTCCCTCGGCCAATAAAGCTGCTGTGCTGCCGGAGCACGATTTCTGTTCTCATCCTGAAGCAAAGTTCTTAACCTGAAGCACTATTTCTGGGTTAGCGGAGTCTGTAACCTGAAGCGTATGTAACCTGAAGCGTATGTAACCCGAGGTACCACTGTATTTAAAAGCATATACACAGGTAGAAAATGTGTCGTCATAAGAATATATCATGCAAAGCGCACTTGTGTAAAATGCATGCCATTTATAAAGCTCACACGCACACAGCTGCTAATCATGCTGGTCTTTGATATTTTTCAGAGGTTCTGTGAAGAGATGTCGAGAGAAAAACCTGGAGGAGGCTTTTCAGCAGTTGGTGCAAGCGAGCAAAGGACTGGGGGAACTGAGCCGTGAGGATTTTCTCCCTCTGCTCCGCTGCGTGCTCGCTTGTCAAATGGAGACGGCGAGCTCCAGCGCTTTCCATCGACTTGAGAAGGTGTGCTCATGTGCAAATCGAATTCATTGGCAGCACAACGCATGGATGAATTGCGGAACTCCCTGTCGTGAGAAGTTGCGATGGACTCCACGTTGAACAGCTTTAACACAAACACCAGAAGAGTTTGGCCTATCTAATCCTGTTCTCAACAGTAGCCAAGCAGATCCCTGTGGGAAACCTGAGCACAAGAGCCCTCTCCCCTCCCGTGTTTTCTAGCAACTCGGATTATGATTATTATGATGATTTTAGTCTCCTTATCTTGCCCAGAGCCTAGTAGCCACTGATAGTCCTCTCCTCCAGGAATTTCCCCAGTCCTTTTTAAAGCCATCCTTCTTGGTGTCTGTCGCTGCTTCCAGTGGGAGGGAGTTCCACAGTTTAACTATACGCTGCGTGAAAAAGTCCTTTGTTTTATCTGTCTTGAAACTTCCAGCATTCAGGTGCATTGGATGACTCCCGAGTTCCTTGTTTAAGAGAAGGAGAAATACTTTTCTTCTGTGCACTTTCTCCATGCCGGGCATAATTTTATAAAGTTCTATCATGTCACCTCTTGAAGTGATGGACATGAGGCAGGAGTTGATAATGCAGGTGAGCTGCGCACAGGTGGTCTGCATGCGAGCTGCTGGCCAGCCCTGTGGACCCTCCTTTTATTGAGACAAACATGCAAACCAGGCAGATACCTTTTGGGCTGTGACCTTCCGGTCCCAAGATCGTAGGGTGGTACAAAGTTATTTTGGCACCTGTTTCCACTGCGTCATTTTCCCCTTGCACAGTGTATGACGAAGGAGACAAAAGGTCTCAGAGACAAAGGTTACAGACAGGACACCGCAGGCTACTGAGACCGCAAAAGGTTAGACAGAGGCAACGATGTTCAGACAGCCGTGGCTTTGTCTGCGAGGGGTGTGTGTGCTCCGCACCCCAAGGTCACACGTGCAGGAAGGCTGAGGTTGCCTGCGGGTGGGGAGTGTGCTCCCTCCGGACCCCACTCCCCACTCCGTGATCATCCCTACAACCTCTTACTTGTGTTTTCTCGAAACTGAAAAGTTCCCCCCAAAACTGAAAAGCCCACTTAATGAAAAGGAATTGTGGCGGGGGAACCATGGAGGAAATGGCCGAGAAGGGCTAATAGTCGCAGTGGCTATATGCTGTATGCTCCAGGAATAGTGGGAGTAAGCCTCTGGATACCAGGTATTGTTGTGAAATAGTAGGAGATCCCTGTGACACTGGTGTTCCACTTCTGGGCTTCCCATAGGCATTGGTTTGGCCACTTTGGGAAACAGGATCCTGGAATAGATCGACCAAGGCTAGCCAGTAGGGAGCTTGCCAAATGTTGGGCTCCCAACTATCAGCCTCAGCCAGCACCATCAAGGATGGTGGGCATTGTAGTCTCTTGCATTGACTACCCTTGAGATAGGCCTTTGAATTGATCTATCGGTACTCTTGTGCTCCTAGGTGGTTAGTCTCATCAAGTATACCTCGGGTTATAGACGCTTCAGGTTGCGTGTTTTCGGGTTGCGCACCGCACTGAGCCCGGAAGTACCGGAACGGGTTACTTCCGGGTTTCGACACTTGCGCATGCACAGAAGCACTAAATCACGCTTTGCGCATGTGCAGAAGCACCGAATTGTGACCCGCGCGTGCGCAGTGGGTTGCAAACGCTGCAGGTTGCGAACGTGCCTCCCGCATGGATCACGTTCGCAACCCTAGCGTCCACTGTACAGTGGTACCTCTGGTTACGTACTTAATTCATTCCGGAGGTCCGTTCTTAACCTG